AAACACGGGAATGAATAATGAAGGTGTTCCGTGGAGCGCTTGTGGTACTGGAAGACGAAAAAATAGCTGCAAACTTGTACATGCTGAAGGGAGAGACTTTGGTAGAAGCAGAAGCCTCTGTTGCCTCATGTAGTTCAGATTCGACAATGCTATGACATCAGAAACTTGGACACATGTCAGAACAAGGAATGAAAGTCCTTGTGGAGCAAAAGCTACTTTCAGGCTTAACAAATGTATCACTTCCTTTGTGTGAGCATTGCATAACAAGTAAGCATCACCGGTTAAAATTCAACACATCAAATTCTAGAGGCAAAAGTGTTCTAGAATTAGTTCATTCTGACGTATGGCAAGCACCCGTTACATCCCTAGGTGGAGCAAAATATTTTATCTCTTTTATTGATGATTACTCCAGGAGATGTTGGATGTACCCTATTAAGAAGAAGTCAGATGTATTTTCAACTTTCAAAAACTTCAAGGCGCGGGTGAAACTTGATTCTGGAAATAAGATCAAGTGTTTCAGAACAGATAATGGAGGAGAATACACAAGCGAAGAATTTGATGACTTTTGCAGGAAAGAAGGCATCAAAAGACAGTTCACAGTGGCGAACACTCCTCAACAAAATGGAGTGGCAGAGCGGATGAACTGAACCTTGTTAGAAAGAACAAGAGCAATGTTGAGGGATGCAAGCCTAGAAAAATCATTCTGGGCAGAAGCAGTCAATACCGCCTGTTATTTGGTGAATCGAGCTCCATCAACTGCAATAGAGCTGAAGACACCAATGGAGATGTGGACTGGTAAACCAGCTGATTATTCAAACCTCCATGTATTTGGAAGTATTGTGTATGTGATGTACAACTCCCAAGAAATTTCAAAGTTGGATCCAAAATCCAGGAAATGCAAATTCTTGGGGTATGTTGATGGAGTAAAAGGGTATTGCTTGTGGGATCCCACTGCCCGCAAAGTGATCATCAGTAGAGATGTTATATTTGTAGAAGATAAACTACAAAGAAAAGAAGACGATGATAGCGCTGAAAAGTCAGAGACTACTCAGATACATGTGGAAAAAGAGTTTAAACAAGGAGATTCTTCTGAAGCAGAACCAACACATGATGAACAAGAACCAGAGAGTTCTGAAACTCCAACAACTCGTCAATCAGATCGTGTGAGAAGACGTCCCAATTGGCACTCAGGTTATGTTATAGAAGGTAATATTGCATATTGCCTTTTAACAGATGACGGTGAGCCATCAACATACCAGGAGACAATAAACAACTCAGATGCTTCACTGTGGATGATGGCGATGCAAGAAGAAATTGAAGCCCTTCATAAAAATAATACATGGGACCTTGTGCCACTACCACAAGAAAAGAAGCCAATTGGTAACAAATGGGTCTTCAAAATCAAGCGAAATGGTGACGATCAAGTTGAGAGGTATCGTGCAAGACTGGTGGTCAAAGGATATGCTCAAAAAGAAGGTATTGATTTCAATGAAATATTTTCTCCTGTGGTTCGACTAACAACAGTTCGTGTAGTTTTGGCAATGTGTGCTACATTGAACTTACATCTAGAGCAGCTAGATGTTAAAACAGCTTTTCTTCATGGAAATCTTGAAGAAGAGATTTATATGCTCCAGCCTGAAGGTTTTGAAGAAGAAGAAGAAAAGAAGAACTTAGTTTGCAGGTTGAACAAATCTCTGTACGGTCTAAAGCATGCGCCTAGGTGTTGGTATAAGAGATTTGATTCCTTCATTATGTGCCTTGGATACAACAGACTTAATGCAGACCCTTGTGCTTATTTCAAGAGGTCTGATGATAACGATTTTGTTATATTGTTGTTGTATGTGGATGATATGTTGGTTGTAGGACCCAACAAAGATCATATTGAAGAATTAAAGGCACAACTGGCTAGGGAATTTGAAATGAAGGACTTGGGATCAGCAAACAAGATTATAGGGATGCAAATTCACCGAGACAAAAGTAATAGGAAGATTTAGCTTTCACAAAAGAATTATTTGAAGAAGATCTTGTCACGATTCAGCATGCAAGATTGTAAGCCAATTTATACTCCTCTTTCTATTAACTTCAAATTATCCTCCAGTATGAGTCCTAGCAGTGAAAAAGAGAGGATGGAGATGTCTCGAGTACCGTATGCATCAGCAGTGAGAAGTTTAATGTTCGCTATGATATGCACAAGACCAGACATTGCACAAGCAGTGGGAGTGGTTAGTCGGTACATGGCGAATCCAGGCATAGAGCATTGGAATACAATAAAGATGATCTTGAGATACATCAAAGGGACCTCAAATGTTGCATTATATTACGGAGGATCAAACTTACTAATCAATGGGTATATAGATTCTGACTATGCAGGGGATTTGGATAAAAGTAAATCTACTACATGATATGTGTTCAAAGTTGCTGGTGGAGCTGTAAGCTGGGTTTCAAAATTATAGTCAGTTGTGGCTACATCCACAACAGAAGCATAATATGTAGCAGCTACACAAGCCAGTAAAGAAGCAATTTGGTTGAAGATTCTATTGGAGGAGCTTGGACACAATCAAGAGTATGTCTCTCTATTTTGTGACAGTCAAAGCGCCTTGCATCTAGCAAGGAATCCAACATTTCATTCAAGGACAAAACACATACGAGTTCAGTACCATTTCATTCGTGAAAAGGTGGAAGAAGGGACATTAGATATGCATAAGATCCATACCAAATACAACATAGCAGATTTCATGACGAAGGCGATCAATCCTGATAAATTTTCCTGGTGTCGATCCTCCTGTGGCCTGTCAGAAACGTAAGCAACATGAAGGTACAAGGTAGAAAGAATGGTGTGAAGATATGATTGTTCCAATCAAATCTTCAAGTGGGAGATTGTTGAAAGTCAAGCCATTTCGGTGCAATTAATGCACTGAATGGCAATTGTCAAAAAGCTTGGGCTGCAGAAATTGTTTTCAACATTCGGTGCAACATTTGTTGATTTTTCAATAATGATAAAATCTCAATTTTAGCCATTATAATTTAGGGTATTTACAAATTAGTCCTTAAAGCTTCAACTATAAATACCCTAGCTCATTTAACTTCAAAATCATCCCAAAGCATTCTAGCTTTCTTCCAATACTAGAGAGAATTTAGAGAGTTTTTTGAAAGTTGTTTTCTCCTTTTTTATCAAGAGAGAATTATCATTGTTTTCTCATTGGTGAAATGAGAGAGGTTGTAATTCATATTTTCTAATAGTGAAATTCTTCTACCGTTGCCCGTGATTTTTACCTTATATTATTTAGGGGTTTTTCACGTAAATTTTGTGTCTTCTTTATCTTCATTTTTTTTCTTCTCAAATTATCAGTTACGATTTTACTCTATTCGATAGCCGTCTTCCGTAACAATTTTTAATTCATCTTGTATCAAAAATATTTTCTTTCATCTTTTATTATTTTATATTTTTAATTAATTTTATTATTTTTCGAGTTAAAAATATTTTCTCAATATGATTGAGGGAGGGGTTGAAACTAGGGATGGCAATGGGTCGGGTCGGGTCGGGTTTTTGGGCCACCCGACCCGACCCGAGAAGAAAGGATTTTTCACCCGTGACCCGACCCGACCCGACGAAATTAAAGTTTCACCCGATCCGACCCGACCCGACCCGAATATATGACTTAGAAACCCGACCCGACCCGAAATAATAATAAAAAAAAATTTATTCAATGAAAACAGTGACTTAATTGAAAAAAATTATATATGGAGGGACATTATTGTAATTATCCCTAAATATATAGGATAAAATTATATATATTTTTCGGGTCGGGTCGGGTCGGATTTTTTTCACCCTAAACCCGACCCGACCCGACCCGAACAGTACATTTTAAAAAACCCGACCCGACCCGACCCGAACCAAAATTTTTTTTAAAAAAATCCGACCCGATCGGGTCGGGTCGGAACCCGTCGGATTCGGGTTGAGTTGCCATCCCTAGTTGAAACCTCTGCAACCAGTATACAAGCTTCTTCTCCTTCATTCTCGTGATTAATTTTCTCTCAAGGAAAAATATTAATTAATAATTGTCCTCTCGTTGAAGGTGATTTTCTGTCTAAATTAAAAAAGATGAATTGTAAAAATAGAGGAGATTAATTTATTTTTATCAACAATTGTATATTTATTTATTTATTTTTATAAAAAATTGAAAATGACGTGAGGCTCCCGACCGTCACGGGAGTCAAAGAAGCGAGGCGTTCGCCGACCGTAGCGCGGTCGTGTCTGTGGCCCATGCGTTTCGGTTTACAAGAATTTCTTATAATTTTGAAGAGAAGAATACTGTTTTGTTAGGTTTGCTAGTTAGTGGTTTTAATTTCTTTATTTGCCAATTAAAGCTTTATCAGCTTGCTTTAACTTCACGTACCTTATCACCTTCCCCATAAATATTATATTTTTATTTTAAATCAAAATTCTACTATATAAAAAAGTAATTTCAAGCAAAATACAGCCCAACTAATTAAATATTACGATTATGTACTCACAAAAATAAAAAATAAAAAATAAACACTAGCATTGAAGCACACGCCAGCTTTTGCAAATGCAAGCAAACATCCATCCCTTCCTTTTTTTTCTATTATTTTCGTTACAAAATAGTCATATTACACTAAAAGAAGATGGAAAATTTATATAAAAATAATATGGAAAACTAAGAAAGAGCTCAATTTTTCAGTAACTATTTGTTTTCAAATAGATTTTTATATTTTATTTCTCGTTTTAATATATTAATCACTTAATTTGAATGCAGATGTTATGAATGTTTAATTATATGAAAAATTTAATCTAAAATTATTATAAGATAATATTTATTTAAAATATTTAATTATTGATGATATAATTAACACATTATATATACAACTGTATGAATTTAAAATTTTTAAAAATAATAATAATTCATTTTTTTCTTTTTCTCCAAACATAAATCCCTACCCTTTTGGCACAGTGTAGACCAAAACCTTTTCAGCCTCTTAGCTGTACCTCCTTCCTCGGCAAGTACAACTCATTCATAATTCTCCTCCCTTTATTTATCAACTACAAAGCCAGCCACCGCCACCGGTCCCAACCCAAACTACCATTACTACTCCCTCTCCCTCAAACCACACAAACATGAACACCTTTCAATCTCAAACACAAGACGCCTCCACATTCGTCTCTTCTTCTTCTTCACCCTTAATCTTGTCGTCGAACCCTAGGCGTTTCCCTTGCCTCGATGACGACGATATTGTTTCCACGGTCATCCCTCTCGTAACCGTGGTGCTGGAAGGCCGCTCAATCTGTCAGCGCATCAGCCTCCATAGCCATGCAAGCTACCAGAGTCTCGCAAAGGCTCTCAGGCAGATGTTTGTGGTGGACGAGAACGTCGACGGTGGGATCGTCACCTCCGAGAATGATCTTGATCTTTCTAATGCAGTTCCCGGTCACCTCATTGCCTATGAAGACATGGAAAACGATCTTCTTCTTGCTGGAGACCTTAATTGGAAGTACGTCTTCAACCCAGAATTATTAGTTATTCTTCTTCTTCCTCTTCTTTTCCAGTTTTGTTTTGACTGATGCTTTAAAGATTGATATTGTATTGCATATAATGTGTGGAAATGAACAGGGATTTTGTACGTGTGGCTAGGAGAATTCGGATACTGCCGGCCAAAGGGAAAACAAGGAAAGGAAGAGGAGGGACATAGTTGGGATTTAGCATCTCTACATTTAGGACGGTCACCAAATTATTCTCACGGTTTTATTTTCGTCGTCTAATTATCTTTTTTATAATATATTTAACGTTATATTTTAGTTTTATTTAATATCCACTGTTCAAATAGTGATATTATCGTGCCACTCTAATAATAAAAAAATTATCACATCAATAAATAACCAAAATACAATATTTTATAGTTAAAATATTACGTAATATTTTAGAGTTAAAATTAATTAATAGTTGATTATGTTTATTGGATCTATCAATATATGAGTAACTATTATAATTTTATAACTAACAGAGACAATAAAGATTACTATGAAATCTTTTGACTAAGATTAGGAGAAGGATCTGAAACTATTTTTCATCTAATATTCTTTTCATTTTTATCATAGAAACAAAGAATTTTGATATCGATCAATCATCGAATAATTACTTACTATAAATTTTTATCTAAATTAGAAAAGATTAACTATCGGCGATCGATATAATTTATGGATAAAGTACACATTTAGTATTTAAATTATTACTTTTGTTTCATTTTAGTATCAAATATTTAATTTTTTAATAAAAATATACTTAACATTTAGTTTATGTTTCATTTTAGTACTTTCACCGTTAAAAATTTAACGGTGCTACATATGTGTCATGTCCTCATTAAAAAATAAAAAGTCACATCATCATAAGATAATGTCATGTCACCATAAGGAATTGTTGCTCTTTCTTAAGGTCCCGGGTTCGAGCACCAACAATGTCCGAGGTACGAGCGTTCAATGTCAAATGATTTGAGAGTTATCTTTGAACATATATTACCTTGTATTTACCCAAGATAAATTCAAATATATATATATATATATATGAAATGCAAATTGTATCTACATTCAAATTGTATTTAACAACCATGTCGAGATGATGTCAAATTCATTCTTGAAAAAATTAAACAAAAAAGAACAATCAAATGAACGATAGAGAAGATTGAAAATTTACCAAAAGATAGAGAAAACATTCTATAGGGACAGAAGAAAAAAAACATGTCATGAAGATATAATTATTAGAAATTTAAAAATAAGAGAAAAATAAAGATGTGATATTAAAAAAATAAAAAATAATAAATACCGACAATCGAAATTAACTTTAAGATTAATGTCGCTGTTGATAAATAAATCTTAAAAAAAACAATCAGCTTAAGAGGAAAAGTGAAAACCCTTTATGCTAAGCGGCTTATACTTTAGTTTTTTCTTACTTGTAAACTTTGTTCTAGTTAATGATTATTTACATATATAAAATTTGGTGTATGTCAAATAGTCTTAATGGACAAGTAATGGTTATCTTTGATGCAATTAATGATGATGTTCAAATACGAGAATCACCCCACCCCAAACACATAAGTTACTATGATTTGATAAAATAGAATATTATGTTTAATTTATAAATAATTTAAATTTAAGTAAATGATTTCATAGAGTATAAGTTTGAATAATTGGTTTCTGTAGGTTGTGTTATTAATAAGTTAAATTTATGAACATATATTATCTTATAATTATTTTAGATTATTTTAAAATATATATTATTTTTATTGAACTCATTAAATGATCTTAATTGTAAAAGAAAATATTCTACTCCTTATAATTAAGAATAGGTTTGAACAATTGCATTTGTATGATGTATGATGTATATTCGTTTCTTAATAGGTTAAGAAAATTTTGAACATATATTACCTTATACTATTAAATATATATTTAGTATGAGAGCAATCTCAGTGGTTAAAGAGATTGCTGCCCCTCAGAAACGGACGTAAAAATTTATACTGGAGAACGAACTTCTAAAATTTTAAGAGTGAACAAAAATGTATTTTCAATAGAAAATATATAGAAGAAATCTAAAATCTAGGGTACTTTAAAATTTTCAGAAGGCGACTACCTCCGCCCACCCTCCCTTCGGCCCATCCTTGTTGCCCTTAGATATCCCGGGTTTGAACATATCGTTTGTAAGAGTGTTTGAACGTTCGTTATCAAGAAATTAAGAATATTTCAAACATATATTACCTTATAATCATACTCTCTCTATATATATATATACTATCCTTATCGGAACCATTACATTTTTTTTCTTATGTGTAAAGCTTTGCCTTAAAACTTGTCCTCCTGTCAAAGCTTGAAATTTTCTCTGGTTCCCTGTCTCCAACACATAAAAACATGGGAGAAAACATTGGTCATCTTCATCGATACCATGCTGAAGAAGTATTTTCGCTTGGTGAGTTTCCGTTAGATTCAGATGCGAAGAACAACCTGGGCCTAACTCGAAGATCATCATCCGAGTCTGCCCCTGAATTCTTCGAGTTTCTCAACGATCTTACCTACGACATGTGCCCAGCCGACGACATCATCTTCTGCGGCAAACTCATCCCTTTGAACCCACAACACATCCCCTTCGAAGAAAACAAGAAGAAGAACGATGTTTTACGCAAACGATCCGAGTCATTCTCCGAGTCACGCAGCGAATCTATAACTCACTCCCACAACACCAAAGAGTACCCTAAATGTCTCAGAAACAGTCGCTCCCTGGATTATAAAAGGCTCCGCCGTTATGACATGGAGAGGAATCCTTCAAAAAGAAGCACCAGAAAATCCGACGTCTCCGCCATAAAAGTTAATAAGCGAAGGTGGTATGTTTTCATGCTTGGAATGGTTAAGTTTCCACAGGAAATGGAGCTTAAAGATATCAAAAGCCGACAGTTCCGTCGGAATCCGTCGGTTATGTTTCCGACGGTGGAAGATTATGGAAAGAAACTTTCTGGTAACCGGAGCTCCGGCAAGGGTTCTTCTTGGGGTTTGTTAAAAGCGTTGAGTTGCAGAGATCATAATAGCGTTGCGGTAGCCACGTCGTTTTGGATGCCTCAATCCTAAAATTTCAAATTACTATATAACTTAAATATTTATTTTATATTTTCGTCCGTCGAGGAGGATCAATCCATTAATATTTATGTTATTTTAATTATTAAAATTAAGGGTAAAGTATAGTAATGGTCACTGAACATTTCTGAAGCTTGCATTTAGATCCCCAACTTTTAAAACTTGCAATACAGTTCCCCAACATTTATTCCGTTTGCAATATGGTCCCAACTTAAATCACTGTTAAAAAATTAGGGTAAATTATATAAACGATCATTGAACTTTTCAGACACTTGAATTTAGGTCCCCAACTTTTAAAACTTGCAAAACAGTCCCCCAATAATTTTATTTTCTTATTAAATATAGATGTATAGAAAATATAAATGATTCAATTTATATTTAAATGTATGAATCATTTATATTTTTGATATATTTATTTTCTTGTATAAACTAGTATTTAAAATATGTTTATATTTTAATCAAAATATTTCAATATACGAATAAAAATATATTTATATAAATGTATATTTATATTTAGATGTATAAATAAAAAATATATTCATATTAATGTATGAATCATTTTATTTTTTGAATATTTTATTTTAATAAGAAATTAAAATTATTAATTATATTAGAAATACTCGACTTAAGATTATATATATAATCATGAATTATAAATATGAAAAATATAATTATTAAATTTAGTTTAAAAATATATAAATCTTAAATTTATTCTTTTAAAATATTGTATCAACTAATATTTAAAAAATATATTAAATCTATCAAACAATTTATCAAATATAATATTTTTTTATTGTAAAAAAATATAATATTTTCCCATCATTTATTGCTTTCAAATTTTTTGCCGAAGTTCAAATCTCATTATTTCCATTTTCCATTATATTCTTTTTTTTCTGGCATTGGTCATACTATTAGTATATGTATTATTGTATATCTCTTAACACAAACGATGGTGTTAGCTTAGTGGCTCCACCCTGTATCTTTCATTTGCGTGACTCAGGTTTGAGTTTGCCCAAGACCCAAATTTTACTTCTTTGTAACTTAATTTTCTTCTAATTAGGTGGTGACATGTGTCACCAATAACATATATCATGATCATGTGTTAACACATGTCAGATCCTGGTTAAATGATTAATTTATTAAATTTTATTTAATTTAGGACCAAATTGATAACATATATAAACAATTAGGTGGTGACATGTGTCACAAATGACACGTGTCATGATCATGTGCTAACACATGTCAGATCCTAATTAAATGATTAATTTATTAAATTCTACTTAATTTAGGACCAAATTGATTATATAAATAATAAAGACTGAATGTATAATAATGTCAATTTCTTTTTAACTGCCACTTCATCATTTGTATCAATTGGTAACGACTAGTGGCTTAGTTGAAACAGTTAAATAATTATGTTGTATGATTGATAAATTTAAAAGATCGATGACAAAAGTAAAAAGGGCTAGATAGTTAAGTTGACAACCTAGTAGTTTACACTTTTATTTATACGTCAAAATAACATTTTATAAATTTAAAATTCGAATTATTTTCAACCTCTTCTATATCCTAACTACTTTTTTTAATTAAAAAATTTCTTCAACAGATAAGAATTATACTATTATATTTATATAAAAAATACGTATCACATGAAATAAGATGAAATTAAATAATAATAAATCTGACATAGTTGAATTTAATTGAATTATTTTGGAATTTAGGGTTTAGAATGAAATTGAATTTACTTTGGAAATTGGGGTTTAGAATGAAATTGAGGACTGTTTTGCAAGTTTTAAAAGTTGGGGGACCTAAATTCAAGTGTCTGAAAAGTTCAATAACCTTTTATATAATTTACCCTAATTTCTAACGGTGGTTTAAGTTGGGGACCATATTGCAAACGAAATAAATATTGGGGGACTGTATTTCAAGTTTTAAAAGTTGGGAGACCTAAATGCAAGCTTTAGAAATGTTCAGTGACCATTACTATACTTTACCCTAAAATTAATTAGTTATTGGCCACAAATATCACTATACTCCTTGTATTTTGCTTTATTTACGTGGAAGATTGTAGTTCTAAATGTACATTCCTTTCGTGAAGAATTATTAGATGACATAATTTAGTATTAATTAAATTAAATTAAATTAATTTTATATTTATATAATTATTGTATTTTGTGTTTTATTTTGGTAATAATACATTTCGATTTTAATAAATTAAAAATAGTTAATTATATGTTCGTAAAAAATCGTATTATTAAACAATAATCCTAATCAATCAATAATGTAAAAAAAGAATATAATAGTATCGTTTTTTTTTAATTTAACACTTCATTCGTAATAATAATTGAAATTTAAAGGACTAATGTTCTTAAGTCAACAAGTTTATTCAATACACTTGAATTCATATTTTTTGTGTGAAAAACAACAATAACCATTTTATTATCATCATCAATAACAACCAAAATAGAGATCATTAGTGACTAAATTATTTGTTATTAATTAAATGATATATAGAAAATGTGATTACATATAAATTAATGGAGCTAAATTCGAATTATTATGATATTTAATTTAAGTCCTGAATGAGCAATCATGGAAACTTGAGGTTGGGTTCATCTTAAAGGTTTCCATGCGAAATAAAGATCAATTTAGTTGATGCAAGAAGCAAAGTAGGTTTAAGTACGCAGTAGTGCTCCATATACTGATGTTGTTCACAATGATAATGCCGGCAATTATAATCTCTCTTAATGGGAACAAAAGAGTAACTCATTTTTTTTAATTATCAAACGACATCGATTATAAAAAGGAATATTGTTCTCTATAGCAATCCTAAGTTTGAATAGCTGTGTCTGTAGGATATGTGCGCTTTTAACTAATTAAGAAAGTTTTAAACATATATTAACTTATAATCATCCAGACTATTAAACAAAACTTTTTTTGTGTATCGTGTGTTGGGTTTAGAGACGGATTTACAATAAGTTTAGGGTGGACACTGAAATCTAAATATTTTTCGATTAATTATATATTTTATTGATTGTGTCTACCTTAAAATTTTATCTATATCTATTATTTATAAAAAAAAATTATATTATTAATATGTGTACCTACCTTTAAAAATATTTTTAAATCTATCGTATATTTAATAAATTTTACCAGAATCTAACAGGAAGTACTAACAACAAAAATTACAGCATCTAGAAAGTAAATTAGACAACACAGGTTCATCACATATCGCAACACATCAAACTTATTTTCATCTCTTTTCTTTAAATCTCATTTGATATTCATTGTAATATCAGACCATAAACACATCTTTTCGTACCTTTTCTTTTAATCTCATCCTTACATTTATTTTGATATTTTTAGCCTTGTAACCATATTTGGAAGAAAAAAAACGTGTAGGTTACGTGGATATTCATTTATCCCGTTATGATTCGATCAAATAATATCTATATTATGATGCATATAAAATACGATCTAATCAATTAGATTTTCACATTAGCTAAACGATTTCAATGATTAACGAATTATTATTATTTTTTGAGATTTCAAATTCGATCATCGCACATACAAAAATAAAAACATTAATTATCAAATGATTGAGTGTTTAAACAGATAATATATAGTATTCACCTCAAATTTAAATATATATATATATCAACCAAATGTTAAAAAGCGCAACGTTTTTATATTTTTAGGAGTCCCGTGCATCCTGCAATGTTTTTGTACTCATATTTCGAGTCTATTTCTCTTAGTTTATCTTGTATGTTAACTTAGTTATATTTTTAGAACCCATCAAGTGACCTCAATAGTTTAAAGAAGAAGAAAAACAACTAAATTTGCAGAATGTGTTTGCATTATCACTATTTAAGTAAGATTCTAAACATATATTACATTGTAATTAAAAAAAATCTAGTTCTATCTTTACAAAAAAATGAGCTAAGAACTCAAAGATGATGGACATGGGTCGAGTTTCGACCAACCCGACCCGACCCAAAACTTTTACATTCTTCACCCAACCCGACTCGAAAAATATATACCCTCCACTCGACCCGACTTTTTGAGATAAAATCCAAACTCAATCTGACTCAAAATAATAAAAATATTATTTTTATTTAATAAAAACAATGATTTAATTGAAAAAAATAATATATAGAGAGATATTATTATAATTATTCCTAAAAATATAAGGTAAAATTATATTTTTTGAGTCGGGTCGAGTATTTTTTACCCTAAACCTAAATCCGACCGAACATCACCTTTTAAAAAAAACCGACCCAACTTGAACCCTATTTTTAAAAAGAAAACCGACCCGATCGGTGGGATCCCGTCGAGTTTGAGTCCCATGCCCATCCCTAATTGTGAGTAGTGGTGGTGAGGAATATTTTGATGGAGCAAAAATGAAAAGAAAAAAATTAGAATCATGGAAGTGAAAATTTTCTACTCAAAATTATTGAAAAAGTTCAAAACAAATTTGAAAAATATACAGAAAAGCAAGAAATGAAACAAAGTGCTAAATCAATAAGGCACTTAACCCAGATTTTTTTTTTGCTTGGATTCACTTCCTTCAGGCAAACAGAGATAAGATAGAAAAGAAAGCGAAAAATAAAGAGTGCTTAATTTAATGGTAACATGATGAAGGATGTGTTGTGTTAAAATCCAATCCGTTTTCAATACATAGCTCCAAGAAAAATAGCAAACATGAATAACTGTACATAGAGAATACCTTCTGATGGATATCCAACTGCTCATTTACGTTATTGCCATTACATCTAAAGATCACACATCCAATTACTCATTTATGTTCTTGCCATTCATCCAAAGTATTTTGACTCGACAGATTTAACAATTAGTATTTGGATCAAAATCAAGATTTTAACCAAATCTTGAAACTATCGAATAAGATACAACCTATCTATCGAATAAGACCAGCAGAAAAGTATATTTATGGAATTGAAACTATCGAATAGCAAACCAATCGAACATATGCAAAA